AGTAGCCATAAATAATAAAATAGTTGATGGTAAAAAAATACTTGTATAAAGTAGACTAACAAATAATAATTGACTGATCATTCGAATATTTTTATACCATAATCTCATAGTATCTAGTCTTTTCATACGTGTTTTTTGTAGTATAACACGTAGAATAAGTAGACTATTGGTGAAAAAAATAATTGTAACTGGTAAGACAAGAAATACATAACTTTCAAATGTAGAAAAAAATAATGATTTAGTTAAATAACATAATTCGCCACATTGAAGTCGTGTATAACTAAGTGAATTTGTACATGGATAACCAAAAATAAGACCAGTATACCATGCTGTTGGTATAAGAATACATATAAACATAGATAGAATAAAGAATACGAAAGAATAACGACGAAAAAATGTAAGTTGAAAAATAAAAATATAACGTTCAATAGAACTTATAGCCATTATAAAAAGATTAATAGTAGTTAGTATAGAATCATACCAATTCCAAAGGAGACAAAAGAATGTATTTTGAATGAGTGTATTTTGTTTAGAAAGATAATAGAGACGAAATGGAAAATCAACAATAATCTAAATACATTAAATAAAAAAATGAATTGTATATAATTTCGAAAACATACTTGAAGAAAATTGAAGATAAGGAGAGTAATTAGAAATCGATTGATTGGATTAATTCGTAATTGTCTTAAAGACATAAAATTATAAAATACAAAAGCAAAACATAATATTGATGGTGGGAATAAACTGACAAGGATAGTAAATACAGTTGGTCGACTTGAATTTGATCCAGGTCGAAGGAGTGATGCAGAAGTTGTATTATTCATATTTGATGCTTGCTATGTGATAATTTTACAAGTTATGAAGCTTATTCAACAGTACATCAGATCAAAGTTGAATCTATACTCGTTAAAATTAATTTGTTTAAATAAATAGATGTTACGAACGGTTTTTCATTAATTAAATGATATTTTAAAGACTTACGCACGAGCACTTTAACATAGATTTAAACAGTGTATGTAACGAAGCTTTTATCAATTAGAGATATATTTAGCAAAATAATACGCCATTACGAAAGGTACTGTCACGAAAGATTTATTGTTTTATATATGCACGTTTTACGAAGTACAAAAAACAAATATTTTCTGCATGAAAGAAACAGAAATTAAGTGTTAATATTTACAGTTTAATTCCTTTTTTAAATTTAAAGAATTAATATCGAGTCAAAGAAGAAAAATGTTAATCGATATTTAGATAGAACTATCGAATTCTATCCCAGAAACTATTAGTCAACAAAAATGTTCTGTAAAGATTTTTTACATATATAAAACAATTTATATCCTATAGCTTTATTGAACAGAAAAAGACGTATGTCACAAAATACTAATAAAAAAAAATATATATAGATGAGAATAAAAGAAAACAAACAAATTATAGTCAAGAATTCTTTGATCGAAATCGTACAAGTAAACCATAGGCAAGAAGGGATGATCTTCGATCGGTAAAATATTCAATTTTAGAATTTGGAATATAAGAACAGATTTCTTCTTCACCAGCTCCGATTGTTTCTGGACCAATTTCAAATGAATCAGGCATTTGTCGACATTGTAGAACAATTTGAGCTTCATATTTTGCATCATTTTCTTTCGAATGAAATTCATATGTTGGACTATATACTGGACCACTTGAATAAGCAATCGTTGGTGATGTATAAAGATGCAATTGATTAGGAATATGTCCAGGACGTATACCTAATTTCGTACCATCAATTAATGTATCTCCCGGCATACAAAATTGACGATGTTGAAGAATTGATTGTGCAGCAATTTTAGTCGTACCATGAAATGTTACAATCCATTTATTAAATATATCTTTTGTTTTCATAATAACTGGATCAAGTTGCAATCCAAAACGTACCCATCCACGAGG